ACTGAAAAATATAAATAGTGTGGATATAGAAATGAACAGTGCATAGTAAGTGTTAGTTTCACACCTTAAGTGATCACAGTCTGATGATGGCTTCAGGTGTGAAATTGTCAGTCACTAAGCAATGTTGATTTTTCTGTCCATAATATTTATATCTACAAAAACTTTTTCCTTGACATTGAGCACTCTTTCTATCATAAATATAGCAAATTTTAAACACACACACACACACACACACTATATATATATATATATCAAAATAAAGAGAAAGAACAGTCAGATTAATAATCCACAGTTCTTTAGCATTTATTTTTTAAAAAGTGCTCAATACAAAGTAAAGCATAATACTATATTATTATTATTTTAAAATATTTTTTCCTTGCGACACAGAAATTTAATTTAATTTTAACATTACCATGTCTAATGCATCATTGAATGTACTAAGTATTGCATTTTAGGTCATGATAATTTAAATATACAAAAAATTGATTTAATCATACTAGATAAAATTTTTTAAGATAGTCCTAAAGTATATAAAAAAATAATTAAAAAAAAAACAAAATGTCAAAATTAATACATATACCTCTCTGCATTATTTCATTGTATTTTATGTTCTTAATAGGAAGCAATGGTAGAATGTCTAATACATGACGGCTCATCTAGACAAGCATGAATTACATATCTACAACTAAACACTAACCTACATTTTTTCACTTTTCTATTTTAACTTAGATCTGTCTTTGGATTAATCAAATAAGACAACACCCATAAAATAAATTTTGTAATCTTATTCCCCCTCCTACTTAAACTCTTCAATATAATACTACTTTGCTTTCAAAAGTAAATCATTTTTTTCTGAAGTCATTGAATATCACTTGAAAATGAAACAATAATTTTAAGTTCTAAAACATTGAAATTTCTATGTCATGAACAAAAAAAAATATTTTTTTTATATATATATATATATATATATATATATATATACACACACACACACATATATGTATATCCGCTTAAAATTAAATAAATAAAAACATGCATACATAAAGATAACTAAAAAGTTCTTTCCATTTAAAAAAAATAAGACAATTTTTTAAATTTTTTCTTTAATTTTAAGGATGGTAACACATTTAGCATCTGTATCATATGGTGTAATATCATATATAACATGTTTACCAACTGTATCATGCAACTTTACATACCACTTCTGACATTTTTAGTCAGTTACAATAACTTCATAAATTCCACAAATCTTTTTTTTTCTGTATCTGAGTTGGATTTTTCACCTTTCTGTTTATAAAAATGCACAATATGTTGAAAATGTGGCATATTTTCTTCAGTCTTTGATGTTAAACTTAACAAACAAAAAAAAAAAACCACCAATTTTGACAAAAATTCCGATTTGTATGCTCATCTGACAACTGTCAGAATAGAGCGAAAAGTGATCTTTTTGCATGAAATTAAAACTAAATACTCTTAATACCATATCACAACACATGCACAACAAACATCTTGGCCAACCCAATATGGAGCAGAAAAAGGAGAAAGAATTTTTCATTTTTTTCTTTTTTTTGTACCATTTTTTTTATCATTCACTTCTCCATAGATAAATGAGGGGGTGCTGATATTGTCAATTTTAAAGACCTCTATATTATTACAGTTAAGTCAGGGAGCCTTCACTCCAACTTGTAACATGTCACCAAGTACTGACTTTAGGACGTAGACAATCATGGCTCTCCACAATTTCCTTCTTTTTTTTTTTTACCATGCATTCTTGAGAAACATAGTTGAGTGATTTCCCACTGTTTAGAATTGAGAATTTTCCTTTTTTTAATTTGGCTGCCAACCAAGGCTTAGATAACCCAGCATCTTTACCCTGCTATTTATTTGTTAACTGAGTATTGTTTAAGTTTATTTTAGTCTGGTATGATGGAAAATCATGAGGAAGAATATTCATCTTTTTAATATTTTTTTCATAATGTTTTTAAAAATAAGATGAGCACTGCCAATTAACTTTTCTTATCTTTGAGATGCCATAAAGGATCTTGTATAGCACACCTGATGATCACCTTGGTTATGGGACCAAATATCAAAGCCCCCTTGAGCTATATATAAACATACATATTGTTTCTTCTATGTGCTGTTCCGTTCAGGAGATAGGCAATCATGGCTCTCCACAATTTCCTGTCATTCGTAGCTCTTAATAAAATTTGTCTTTTTGTTATTTCTCCTAAACCTTGTTCTGCCATCCATTTACTGAAGCTCGCTAGGTGGGTTATGCGTTGTTTTCTTCTGTTCCTCTTGTCTTCAATCCGTCCTGTGAGTATCAAATTTGCTAAGCCCTCTTTCTTCATTATGTGCTCTAGAAATTTCAACCATCTCTTCCCCTCCAAAATAGCCCTTAATAAATTTGATCTTTTTGTTATCTCTCTTAAACCTTGTTCCGCCATCCATTTACTCAAGCTTACTAGGTGGGTTATGCGTTGTTTTCCTCTGTCCTTCTTGTCTTCAATCTGTCTTGTGAGTATCAAATTTTCCAAGCCCTCTTTCATTATGTGCCCTAGAAATTTCAACCGTCCCTTCCCGTCCTATATAGCCCTTAATAAATTTGATCTTTTTGTTATCTCTCCTAAACCTTGTTCCGCCATCCATTTACTCAACTTTATATGCCCTAGAAATTTTAACTGTCTCTTCCTGATACAAGTTTCCTTTTTGTTTCTATTTTCTCTAAAACTCTGCTCACATGTTTGGTTCATGGTATACTCAGCATCCTTCTGTAGAGCCAAATTTCAGTTGCTTAAATTTTTTCTTTGTTTCTAATAAAATTTTGCTGTTTCTCAATACTCTGCTTAGCTCTTGGTATGCATTTTTGGCTATCCCAATGTGCATTCAGATTTCATTGTTGCACTTTCCGTCCAATGTTAAAACACTTCCCAGATATTTTAATTTTTGTACTTGTTTGATTTTTGTATCTCCAATTTGTAATTTGCATGTTGGGCCACCCCTTTTGCTAACAACCATACACTCTCTTCTTGCAGTTGATGTTAGTCCTTTCTTCTTGCTTAAGTCATAAATGTATAAAATATTTGAACAATTATGAATGTATCTTTCAATTATTATAATTGAAAAATATTTTTCTCAAAATCCAGTAAAGTATTTGTTAAATTAACTATTAATTAACTATTTTCATTAATTGTAACTTCTTTGAACAACTATTTTATTCCTGAGCAATTCTTATTGAGAGAGTGAAAATTAACTACCAACATATCTGCCCTGGTGTAATATTCGATGAAAAAGGATTTTACAAGTAAGCACAAACTTCAAAAATATATAACTACATATAATGCAAAAAAATAATTTTTATATAAGGTTTTTTTCCATATTTCTTTTAATGTATGCTAAAAGTACGGTAAATACAACTAATACCATATTTGGCTTCATATAAAAAAGTGCCCTGTGCCTAATATTAGGTGTATTACAGATGGTGGATGATTGAGTGCTGTACTGGCATACTCAGCCATCAGATGAGCCTAAGTCCTCTAGATATAAAAATTCTTACTAGTAATTTTTTTAAGTTTGCTGAAATACCAATTTCTGTTAGAATGCATTCAGTTTTTTTCCATTTGCTTGTTATATATTACTGGTAATATTCAGTAAAATATTTTACTTTGTCTGCACATACTGTAATTATCTATAAGAATTAATTCACATTTATTGGTTCTTAGACATTTAACCAAATGGAGATTTAGCTGAAAATGTAGTGGCGTACTTACATGTATGTTACACTCTTTATCGTAATGTGCTACATATATTTATATATATATTTACTGTATTATTTATAATTTTTTGTTTTTTCTTTGACAGGATTTTTTTAAAAATCTATTCTGTATACTATTTACTTTATTTGGACTATTGTCCTCATCTTTGTCACCATATTTATTACGTCTTGGCTGTTGTACGCTCCAGCCTTCTTCAGGTGGTTGGAATGTCGAACTGAACCCTTTATTTCACTCACTGGGGTAGATTGTTCTAGTTTCACGTACTATGTCCAATGGATGTCAGTTATCAGTTATCTTCTGTTAATTCCCTTCTCCAAGTTCTCCACCGCCTTAACCAGGTATTGAACTCACACATGTTAATGACGACTCTCTTGAAAGAAATACTTACTTTTGTACTTTTTTGTTATTGCCAGAATTTCCATCAGAATTTTCACCTTCCATTGCTGATGGTTTCATTTGATGATTTTCATTTGTGACCTGTGCTTTATCAACACCTGCTAATGATGGTGATGATGATTCTGCTGCTGCTGATGATGATGATGGGAAAACTTTAGAAGCTTTATTCTCTGTCACAATTCTGTTTGTTGCGTGAGGATCAAGAAATGTTTTACTGAAGGTTTGGTCTTTAGAAGAGATTTTAGCATTTGACTTGACTTCTCTATGTCTGGCCTTCCAAGCTTTGCAAATGCTTTCATCAATAAAATTCTGTTTCATTTCAGAAATATCATAATTTGGTGGCATCTAAATAAAAAAAGAAAGAAAAAGAAGTTAACATAAAAAATGGAAATAAGAAATGATCACTATCAAAAAAAAAACATCACTTACCCTACACCACTTTTTGACAGAATGTTAACAGCACCCCCCCTCTCCCACATACAAACACATCTTTGGATCACATATAAAACTCCATGAATTTTTCCCCTCCAAAATGGCTTGAAAAAAAAAAACAAAAAAAAAACATAAATCTTATCTGTGAAGTCAAGGTATATGCTATGCTAATTTTTAGTCGTATGTTGTTGACATAATTATACTTTCAATTGTACTACATTGAATATGAGGCAGAGTTAAAGTATAAATTGCTACAAGCCACATTCATTAAGAAATGAACTTAAATATAAATAACCACATTTAAATGACTTTGAATGGTCCAATAATGGTTTGGTTGGCAATTCCAGCCCATATCATACCAATACCATCTTCTTGTTACCTTCTTTTAGCCACAGATATATCTGAATTGGATAAAATTCATCCTTGGGCCTATCAACCAAGTCCAGCAAGTGTTGCTCAAGATTTGTCCGAGAAAAGTAAATTAGAAAAATCATTTTTCATGCATTTCTTCAACCAATTTTGATAATTTAAAATATTTGCTTTAACAAGACGATGTTGCCTAGAGGTTTTTTCAGATCCCAATTCAAAAAGTATTCTACATCGTTTGTTCTTCTGGACTCCTTCAATTCCAGCATTTTCAAAGATCTGAGTACTGATCAAAAGTGATTGTTTTGCTATAACGCACTTTAGATTCATCTTGATGAAGCAAGTTAGTAAAGCCTTTTCCTTTCCTTAAAGTATAAATAACTACATTCCACATTTGATATCAAGTGGGGGTTACGTATAAATAACCACATTTGATATCAAATAGGTTTAAGTATGAATAACTACATTCCACATTTGATATCAAGTGGGGGTTACATATAAATAACCACATTTGATATCAAGTAGGGTTAAGTATAAATAACTACATTCCACATTTGATATCAAGTGAGGCTTACATATAAATAACCACATTTGATACCAAGTAAGGCTAAGTATAAATAACTACATTCCACATTTGATATCAAGTGGGGGTTGTGTATAAATAACCACATTCGATAACAAGTAGGATCAAGTATAAATTACTACATTCCACATTTGATATCAAGTGGGGTTTACATATAAATAACCACTTTTGATATCAAGTAGGGCTAAGTATGAACAACTACATTCTACATTAGATATCAAGTGAGGGGTTACATATAAATAACCACATTCGATAACAAATAGGCCTAAGTATAAATAAATAACATTCCACATTTGATACCAGGTGGGGGTTACCTATTTATTAACACATTTGATATCAAGTAGGGCTAAGTATAAACAACTACTTTCTACATTTGATATCGTGGGGGTTATGCATGAATAACCACATTTGGTAACAAGTAGAATCAAGTATAAATATATTCCACATTAGATATCAAGTGGGGGTTATATATAAATAACGACATTTGATACCAAGTAGGCCTAAGTATAAATAACTACATTCCACACTTCATATCAAGTGGGTGTTATGTATAATTAACCACATTCGATAACAAGTAAGATCAAGTATAAATAACTACATTCCACATTTGATATCAAGTGGGGTTACATATAAATAACCACATTTAATATCAAGTAGGGTAAGTATAAACAACTACATTCTACATTTGATATCAAGTGGGGGTTATGTATAAATAACCACATTTGATAACAAGTAGGGTTAAGTATAAATAACTACATTCCACATTCAATATCATATGTAGATAAATGAAAATCACCATATTCCTTATGTCTCAAGTTTCCAGTGATGCTAAATTAGAAAAGGTTAATATGTATTTTTCTCACAGTGGATATCATGATGGAGATATATTTTTCTTCTTTCATTTCAGACATTTATTCCCCAATGTGTTTCCCAGCCTCTAAACAATTGTTAATTCCAAATTTATCATGTTTTGATTTGTTCTTGAGAAATGCGCCTTCACACAGTTTCCTTTATAAAAGACATTCAGGCAATGGTCACATGATACGCCTGTCATTCCATTCCTACTGCACCAAACCACAAAAACTAACAGACCTCACCCTGATAGGATTTCCTTGGATGAAAAATAAATAAATTTAAAATATATAATCAACAACTTAATATTCAACATTTTGTCAATAATCTGATATAATATGACAAGTATTTAACGGGTGTTTAAAACAATGTGTCTGTGTGTGTGTGTATATCTATATATAGGGTGTATTAAAATTACTTTTACATACATTAGAGGTGAGTTCCTCACACCAAAACAAAGAGAAAAGTCCATATAAACATATGTCCCAAAATCCTTCATTTTTGAGTTATTAAGTTTAAAGAAATTTTACAGTAGATGCCACTAGACTAGGTTACATTTGTCACTCATGTACATTTGTGTCTAGTCTGTCTTCAATGTTTAATGTGTGTAGTAGTGAGTTAACTGAGAAGTGTTCCGCTTAAGAATGGCAGAATATTCATATTGTGAGCAGGCAGATATGATTTTTACATACAGTCACACAAACTGTAATGGACACAAGGCTACACGGCTGTATCAGACTAAATGAAGTCCTAAAGAATGAAATGTATCACACAAAAACTTTAACTTTTTCATACATCTTTCCCCTAATGTGTGTATGTGTGTGACATGTATGTGCAGATATTTTTAATTTTATCTTTGCATACTATTTTACAATGTTTTAAAAAGTTGTTAACAAATTTAACTAAGTGGAGTACATAAATAAGTTCTCCTATTTTTGTTACATCAGGTGTTTCACTATAAGACCATCAGAAATGAAATAAGTATTTTGCTTATTCTTCTTTGTGCATAAAATCAAAAATTACTTGGTATTGTCTTTTGCACTTAGGGATTTAGTTTTGCTTTCTATGGAGTTTTATTTAATTCAAAGTAAAAATATTGATCAATGAATAGATAAATGTTTTTTTCTCTTTGATAACAAAGTAATTCATGTATTTTTATTTAAATTATTTACAATTGAATTAATCTTTGTTGTTACTATCACAAAGTTTCAGCTATTGTGCCCTGCAGTCCACTTCAACAAACAGTATTGCTCCTCTAGGTCCACTAAGATCAGTGAAGCAATAATAAATCCATCACAAAAGTGATCGCCTTAAGTATCTCTAAGGCTTTTGACAAGGTGTGGCATATGGACCTGCAACGCAAATGCTCTAGCTATGGTATTTCTGGAAGAGTTTTCACAATTATCAAGTCCTTTCTATTGAGTAAGTCCTTGAAGCTTGTTGTTAATAGCCAGATCTCTAAAGACCATGAGATCAATGCAAGTATCTCCAAATGCTCTCTTCTTGGTTCTCTACCCTTTTTCTGCTTTATATTATAATGATAATGGCCGGCCACTTATTTCTCAGTAAGCCAGGCGACTAGTCAATCCCTATTTGTTCAACACCCACAGAGCCCAACTGTGCTTTATTCTGCAACTTTGCTAAGTGAACCTTAGTTACAGTTTCTGGGAGAGAGCATTTAATCTGACATGATCAATAGTTAGAACAAGGCCAGTAGGCTCAAACCATCAGTCATGATGACTTTGTGCTAGTACAATAAACAATTACATCTACCAAATTTCACTCACAAAGCTTGGGTCAACTTGTGGTTTTTAGCCACTTCCAAAAGGTACTACACACTGGGATTGCCTCCCCAGGCCAATAATATCAAGAAGTCACCTTCCTGACAAATTGGCCATAGTGAGATATGAATATGGATCTCCTGGTCAGAAAGTGAACATTCTACATGCTGATATTGCTTTATATTAATGATCTGCCTGAGAACATTTTATAACTGTATATGCAGAATATACCATAGTTTATGGGTACACCATCAAAAATCTAGATGACCAGAGCCTGGTAGTTACTCTCTCCTGTGACCTTGCTCACACAGATCAATGGGGAAGGAATTGGCTTCATCATCACAGAGCCGACCATGAGTGTTCTCCAGTCACGATGAATGATTGTACTCTCAATGAGCCTCCTTGCCTGGAATATCTGGGACTCAAGCTCACTCCAGACCCCAAGTAGAACTCATATATATGAACCCTCCTCATATGTGTTAGTGCCTCTTGTACTGCTCTAGAAAGTAGCTAACTCCTTCTGCTCTGCTCTATCGTTATAAGAGCAAGATCAGATTAAAAATGGTGTATTGCTAACATATCTGGGCTGGAGCTACACAATCCTCACTTTCCAGCTTTGATATAGTTCATAACCGTTTTTGTGGCCTTGTAGGGGATGAATTATTTTCCACTCTACAACCCCTTTCCCCACAGACAAAACACCACAAATCTATTACTATTCTATCACTATTTACTTGGCAGATGTTTGGGTGAACTACATTTCTTGATTCCACCAGTTCAGACTTTCACAGATAGCACACAGATAGCACACAGAATTGACTCATTCTCATTCCCTTCATATTCCATTGGTAAAGTCATGTTCGTCTCCAGAACTGTTACTTTGTGGAACAGACTCCTGAGAAGATGCTTCCTCGATCACTACAATCTTAACTTCTAGAATCAGCTATTATCTATCTTATATATCCTTATAATATTGTATAGTCTCATTTAGTAACCATATACCTTGAGTGGCTCTTGGGCCTTGTATTAGTTGAACAATATTAAAAAAGTACTTTAATCATCTTGGCTGTTGTATTAAATGTATTTCTTCTGAACTTCAAACTGATTTCTATGATTAGACCATGAGAGACAAAGAAATAAGATATGCAGATGGCAAAAGAGATTCAACAGTATAAAAAAAAAAAAATTCATAAAAAAAAATATTACCAATATTAAAACACTGCTAAATGCTATATGCTGGTGCTGCTTCTATCTTATTTGTGTGTTCTATGAAAAAATAATGTCAAATCCTTTGAACATAAATTGTAAATTTGCATGCAAAATTACTTACAGGTTTGACTGCTTTGTTAATGCATTTAAGGTAGTCTCTGTCAGCCAAACAATTCCCCAAAGAATTCCCAAAACTCCTGAAAAGAAGAAGTAAAAATATTCTCAATACTTTACAGTTTCACTTCCAGAGACAAAACTCACTGCAAAAAAAAAAAAAAAAAAAAAACCCCCCAAAGAACTCAAAGACTAAAATCATAAAGATAATGTTCTCAAGTATTAATCATGCTAGGTATGACAATAAACTACATCTGGCAACAAGGCCTTAGATCAGGAGGTTTTGAGAAGCATGGAATCACCTCTTAAATGCCATTAATCACAGGTCCACTGTTAGGTTCCCAACTGTAGGCAAATGGTTACGCCCCCTCCCAAACTGGGGTCAAAATACTATGAAAGTATAAAAATACATTTTTCTAATAAAAAATAACAGCAATATATTTTCATAGTAAAAAAAAAATTACAATACATTTTTGTAAAAATATTACCAGAGTCTGTCTATATTTGATGAGGTATTATGTACATTATTTACATTATTCAGACTATTGTCCTCATCTTTGTCGCCATATTTATCACAACGTTTTGGCTGTTGTACGCTCCGGCTTTCTTCAGGTGGTTGGAATGTCAAACTGAGGCTGATGGATTTCCCTCTGAAAGTTCTCCACTGCCTTAACCAGGTATTGAACTCACACTCTTTGGATCTTACCAACGCCTTTATCCACTTGAGGACATCTGGGTATGAATTTCTGGGTATTATAAACCTAATGTTTTCAGCAATCGTTTTTTTACCAGAGCTCATATTGCAACTTTGTTGTTATCATTGCTTTTCTCTGCCACTCCTTATTACTGGTTCCCATATTGTATTTATTTCTATGCTTGGTCGGCTCAGGAGATTTTTGTGGCCTAGCATATGTGCTGATTCCTTAAGTTTACAAATTTTCCAATGGTGTTCCCTGTCTATGATCTCAACATGATCCCACAGAGGGTGGTTATCTCCCTTCTCTCTCCATATGTGCTCAGCCATGCCTGATTTTCCTACCTCCCCTCGTGAAGAAGGCCGGAGCGTACAACGGCCGAAACGTTGTGATAAATATGGCGACAAAGATGAGGACAATAGTCTGAATAATGTAAATAATGAAAATATTACCAGCAATACATTCTTAAAAAAAAAAAAAATTACTAATGCTCCAAAGAAATTAAAATTTCAGCATTAAATGACCCATAAGGAGTTGATATGCCATTAAACAAACAAACAACTCAAGTAATAATAACAATTTATCACCTAAATGAAAATCTGCAATAACAGAAAAGTTTATTGAAGTTCATAAATGAATGCTTTTAGGCACAAATTGATTTTTGAAATAAATTACAACATTGATAATAATTATAAATTTTAAGATTTAACTCTAGTTACCTGTCTTTAGACATACTGAAAAAAATAATGGAAATGTTTATAAAATTACCGATTTTACCTTTGTTATCTCCCTTTAGTCAGTTATGTGCCATGTGTGATACCCGCTTACGAGGCAGATTTCCCCCCCCCCTACAGTATGTTGCTATTTCTTTCTGCGGTAGACCAGTTGCCATGCAAGGCTATAGAACCCAGTCTGTCCTGCTATTTACCCATAGCTGGGGGGGGGGGAGAAGAAGAGGATTCATACCTTTCCCAAGGGTATTAGCACATAAGTGAATGTAATAGATTTAACTGGAATATCGAACTCAGCTCTCCAATTCCTCAATCTGAGCTGCTATCTATTACTCCACCATGCCTCCTAATATCTCCCTTAATTAAACTTTATAATTCCACTTGGGACTGGGTGATATTTCATGTGAAATGTCTTTATCCTGGATTTTCTGAGAGATACTTCAACTGTTCATGCTATACTGAAAATTCTACATTTTAATTTTCCTTTCATTGTAAGGAACTCTAGTTCACAGTATTTTCTCATAGTGGCAATATTTGTACCTATTGCCACATACTGGCATTTACAACAAATGTGTCAGCCATGAAGGAAAAATTCAGCATATTCAGGAACTTTGCCAAATTTTTGCAAGTTCTGGATCATCTTACTGAAGCAGTGAATCTGATAATGATCAAAGGCAATTTGTTGATGATGACAAAGATATGATAGATGCCTTGGAAATACAAAAGGTTCCAAGTGGTTAATAATGAGGACATTTTTGTTTTTTTATATAGCAGATTGCTTTATAAAAAAAGAAAAGATGGTTTGGTATAATGATCCAAGCTATTTCATCAGCATCATCATTTATAAAGATACAAAAATAATATTCTACGAAACCAATACAATTTCTCTGCATAACTTTCATTAAATAGAAATAAATGATGAAGCTTAAACTAGAATCCAAATAAATTTTATGAGCAGGTTGTGGAAATGTCAATATTATATTATATATTATATAAATATCAATATTATATAATATACAATAGAAAAATGATTACATTACAAATAATGTGTTTATGAGCAAGCTCATGAAGGTGTGTGGGAAGATCAACATACAAGAATTTATTATGATTACAGATTGGAATTTTACTCTTGTGGAGAACTTGCATTTATGAATGGAATGATAGACACGCGAGCGAACGTTGGCATGCGTACATCATGAACCGAGTCAAAAAAATAAAAATAAAAAAATAAAAAAACAAATAAAAAAATGGACATTTATATAATAAGGACCCTTGAAGAATGGACATGAACCATGAAACTGCATAGTTGGGAGAATTATAATAATTCAAATGCAGATGTATTAATTTACAGTAAGTCAATTTAAAAAAAATTATATATATATATATATATAGAGAGAGAGAGAGAGTTGTTTGGGGGCAAGAGAAAAGTAGATATTATTTTCCTCAGATTTCATATTTCCTACTTACGGACAATTACTTAATTTACTATAAAAATATAAAAGAATTAATACATCACAATAACATTATTTGTTAGGTTTGAAAAAGAAGTGCATTGTTGGCCAAACCCAAAGTGAAATGAATCGTCTTTCAATTGCACTGAAATTGGAAATATTTTCTACATTCAACCGCATTATATAATTCATTTATAATGTAAACAACTGCATCTCATACATGTTTTCTTAGAATATTAGAAAGGAATCTTTGTAGATTAAAATGGGGAAAATGAAAGCTCAGAAAATAGAAGAAAATCGCAGTTGCAAGTCGTTGGAATATAAGCGTGCATGTGTCAAAATTATCCTAAGAGCATACATATCTTCATTACATGAGTTAAATGAACAAAATTTGCAAGAAGAAAGCCACTTTTTAAACCAGTCAGAATTCAGCAATGGGATATTGATTTAATTGTCAGACTATTCATTTTAAGCATAGTGTCATCTCTATAAATAAATCCTATTTCAGTTGAGTTTTGCATCAATATTTGATGCATTAAGTTTGCACAAAAGTTTCCAGAAAAACTGGTTTACAATTTTATTAAAATTGCTCAGAACTTTTGCAGACACAACACAATGCAAACACTAATAGAAAATCCAACTGTAATACCATGAAGGATAATGTCAATTTGGACTTGGGTAAGATATATGCATACTAGGACATGGACGATATTCTAATCAAATTTTCAGTTTATGGCCATTTTGTGACATAACATTTATACAGATCTTTGCTGCCATTTGTATATTTTGCTGATGAATTTTTATGGCTTGTCAACCCTTTGTGAGTTATTTGATGCTGAGACAAATTTTGGATTGTAGGAGGCTGCTTACAGTACCTGGTGTTCCCAAGTTGTCCCCCATCTTAGTATTGAACTGGTTTGACACTGCTTAATTTTGGTGATCGAATAAGAACCAGGGTTTCATTGTGTTTTGACCATACCCCCATTTGTGTCTTAACTTGTCTTAGACAATTTATGCATATGAAAGAGTTTGTGCCACAGAGTCATACACATGCTACCTTTGTTCAATTAGAACTGTTTGAGATGAATTAGTGGTTATTTTAGACAATTGCTGTGCATGTGAGTTGTGACACATTGCTGGTGTTTCATTCTTGGCAACATTTTTCAAATGAACGTTCCTACACTTGTAGGCAAGGATTTGAATGGTCACATATTACAGACACTTGCCAAAATTAACACAATTTAAAAATTGAACAGTACCATGAGTGTCCAGAACATTGGTCAATCTATTCTACTGGTATTAAGGCAATGTGATTTTCTAGCACGATAATGCCTGCGCGCATCATGCCTGTGCTACTCAACCTGCTCTGCAAGATGTTTGATACTATCATCATACCTGTGACCCACTGAACATATAAACAATTCAGTTAGCCTACCTACAACTGTTTTTGTATACAACACAAATATAAATCTTAATTGAAGAGTCCAAAGAGATGATAATTTGAAGGAATCAAAGCAGGTGGATGTGGTTAAACATCTCAATCATACTGCTGTAGCTACTATTCTGTTGGGTTTGGCCATCTGTGGGATATGGCATTATTGGTATTATTATGGAAACATCCTGATCAATTTCTGATTGTTGAACTTCCACTTTTGTTTTTTTGCATTGGTGATAATGGTAAATTTTACCCCTGGTATGAAGAAGTCTAAAATACCTCAGATCTCTACAGCTACCCATAGTACTGTGCAAAAATCTTTGGTCACTTTAAACTATTGTAAACTTCTAATTGCCATTTTATAAGTGGGTGTTGGGCACTGTATTTTCTACAAATGAAATACCGACTCCATTGAAAGACTCTGCTTGCTTAATTATTGTGCTTTGTAACTGGGATTCAAAATGAGGTGTGGAGATGCAAGACAACCCACAAAAATAGCTATCTAAATGTTTTCATACATTTCACATACACCAAGTCAGACAGTGTTTAAAACAGAAAAATATCTAATAGTGGAGCAGATTATGCAAACCATCGTGAAAATTGTGAGATAAGCATGAAATTTGGCATAATTGTCCCTGATAGGTCACTTTTTCAGAAAAAAGTGCTAGCCACAAAAAAATCCAATATGGCTGCCATTTTTCAAGATGGCTGCCAAACGGGCCTCTGTTTCATGCATTTTGCTCAAAAATCATAGTGCAAATTGTGATATAA